GAAAGGTAAATTTTAAATTATTTAATTTTAATATTAATATATATTATATAATTTTTTTAATCTAAAATTTTTTTTAATAAGATATTCTTGGATTACTGGTCTTGGATGTATATTATACTTAATAAATCTTATATGCAAAGGAATTCTTTCATATCCTACTGCTAGAGAAGTTATAATAAAAAATAATAAATTAACATCCTTTTTTAAGACATCACATATTTGGTCTAAACATCTAGAAAATTGGTGTCATTCACAAGTGAATATTAATCATAGATTGGTAACATAGACTAATATTCACTAGTATTCTGTATATAATAATGTAAAATCAATATTTCTTCATGAATCTGGGTTTTGCCAACTTCTTAATCATAATGAAGCTAGACAACCAAAAATTGAATTAGATCGTGAAATAATTCGAATTATTGAGGATAGAAATCATTAGAAAGATAATAAAATTATAATGAAATACTAGAATCAGTTAATAATACTATTAAAAATTTAGAATTTGCAAATGTAACATTAGCAGATGCATATTTATCTTTAATCTATTTAGGAAAAGATTTAATTTCTTTATTTAATAATATTAATAATTATGATGATCTTAAGCTTTATGTGTGCTAAGTTTATAATAAGCGATTTATAGAACTTAATTTAGATCTTTGCACACTAGCATTGTTTTATTATCCTAAAGCTTGAAAATTTGCAATTTCAAAAAAATCATTATGGGATATACAAAATATTGCAATCAAATTAGTAAAAAATTGGAATTGGAATAAACAATCAGCATTAGATATAAAAAATAGAATGGCCAATTATTTAAATTTTATTGAAGACTTTAGCTTAGATAAGGGAATTTTAATGGATAATCTACATACATATTGGAAACATATTTCAAGTCTAAAATATGCTGCTCTTGTTATATTTGTTAAACATATTCTTGCTCTTGTTCCTCATGCTGCTAAAACAGAAAGATGTTTTTCAACTCTTGGATATCATAATACAAAATACCATAATAATATAAAAACTAGTACATTAAAA